CCCCTCTCGCAGGCGCCTGGCAGCCTCGGGGTGGGCCGCCCCGCACGACACGCGTGCTCGGCGGGTCTGCCTACCGCCCCTATCGCAGGCGCCTGACACCCTTAGGGCGGGCCGCCCCGCACGACACGCGTGCTCGGCGGGGCTGCCTACTACCCTTCTCGCAGGCGCCCGGCTGCACTGCAGCGGGGGGCGCCGTGCGGGGCGTGGAGTTGCTGGTGGCGCTGCCGCTCTCACGAGCCGTGCAGTTGCGGTGACAATAGGGAGCGCGCTGACCTTGGCATGCCTGCGCTTGGGCCGGCCCCGCCGGGAGAGCCGTGTGCCATTTCACGGCACTGCAGGCTGATCCCATCCGATCCGTCAGGCTGCCCCGCCCGCACCGCCTGGGCTCTATGCAGCTGCACCGGATGTGCATTGCGTGGCTGCAGCACGTATCGATCCTGGACCCTGGACTAGCCCGAACCTGGCCTGCATCCAAAGTAATTTTCTGGTTAACGCACTTTCCCATTTTCCTGTGACTCTGACCGTGCGAGGACGACCTCCACGTTGGAAAATTCACTGGGGGTCTTGTCGCTGGCCCCCTCTCACCCTTTCCCCTTCGCTTCCCGTTACCTCTTTTCTTTCGCCTCTTCCACCATCTTTCTTTACTCTCCTCCCTATCCCAGTGGTTCGCTCGCCCCGTTCCGTTCCGCGTCGCACCCTCCCCCGCTGCGCCACGCCCGGCGCCACGCCCTGCAGGGGCCGTGGTGTTTCACTTTCGCGTGTATGAGGGAGCACGTCCGCGCCGGCCGCCTGCCCGGCCTGCTGCCTGGCGTGCGTGCGTGCTGTCTGCCGAGTGAGCAACAATTTCACGAAAGAACCGAGTAAAAGTTAGGGCAGCAAAGTGGCGAGCCATCGGGCTTGTTACCAAGGGAGGTCTCCATCTGAAAAGCAGACACAGGGGAACGCCGAGGAACCACGTTATTCCACCACACTAACTCTGATCTAGTGTACACCCAGCAGAGCTCTGTAAAATCGCCTTTTGATCGACCGAGCCCGGCCGGCACCGACTGGCTGCAAGGTGAGGTGAGGAGAGGAGCTTGCAGAGCCATGACACTTAGTTATTGTCTGTTGGTCGCGGTTCCCGGGGCGTACTGTACTAGTACTAGTGGCAGTAGAAGGTACACACCCTCAGAACGTGTAGCGCGCCCCTGCCGACAACATCGCCGACAACGCCTTTTGCCCTGCTTTATAGTGCGTAGAACGTTGCGAGGAGGATGATGTAGACAATGATTATCCCTCTCTATATCTCTTCGCGGTGTACCCCGGGCCGGTCGGAGCCGGGCGGCTCGGCGCGTGCCCCGCAGTGCATTCGTTCCGCCAGCGCGGGCTGCGCAGCCCCGCGGGGCCCCGCGCCGGCTGGGTCCGGGCCGCGGCTGAGGTCTCGGGCCGGACTGCAAACAGCGCACAGGATGCCCGGCATTCCGGCGCTGCGCCGGGCGAGCCAAACCGAGTAACGGCCCGCCCAACGCGGCCGTCGTGCAAAGGATCTACGAGGAGGTGACGGTTCCACAGGTGCTGTTCACCATCGGCAGCAGGAGCACCCGCGAGACCATAGGCAGCATGTCGTGGGGACGGCGCGTGGACGAGGGGGGCGGCGAGGACAGCAGCGGCCGAGCGCCTTAGCAGCCGCCATGGACTGAGCCTCCTGCGCCAACATGCACGGCCAGTGGAGCCCCTCCCAGGCCGTGGCCGTGGCCGGGGCCGGGGTGGTGGCCGGCGCGGGGGTGGGCGCCGGGGCCGTGGCCTCACCCGCCTCCCCGGAGCTGTTCCTCCCCGGCGAGAAGGCGGAGGTCTCGCGGCCCGGGCTGCTGGAGATGGGCAGCCGCCTCCTCGGCTTCAAGTTCCGCCGGCGGTGGAGCGACCTCGGTGCCATCGGCACCAGCTACGCCCTCCGCGAGGACGGCGGCCCGGCGTGGAAGTCGTCCGGCAACCGCGGAAGCTACCAGGTGACGTCGTCGCCGACACCCTCGCGCAGCTCCATCACCACCAACACGTCGGTGGGCAGGGTGTTCTGCGGTGACCTGGGTGGCTGCACTGGCGGCCGGCGCCGGGGCCGTGGCCGCTCCCCCAAGCAGACGGAGCCCGTCGCGGTCGTCGGCACGCTGCGCAAGACGGCCACCACTCCAACGCCGTCGGTGACCTCCGCCGCGGGCCCTGCTCGGGGCGGCCCCGTTCGCAAGCGGTACGCGGAGATGAAGACGGCGGCCCTGGAGCGCCAGCAGCTGCAACAGCTGCAGCCCGGCGAGCCGGCGCAGGCCGCGCGTGGTCGCTACACCAAGCTGTCGGAGGGCCGGAGGAGCAAGATGATGGCTAGGGCGGCCGCCGCGTCCACCGGCTCCATGGACTTGGCCTTCGACCCGTCGCAGCTCTCCATCTGCGTCACCATCCAGAGCGTAGACGACCTGGATGCGACTGACGTCGCACCTCCGGTTCCCGTGAGGCGGATAAGGTCCTCTCTGTCTGCGGGTGAAGAGTCCGCTTCCCTTGCTTCCAACGAGAGGGGCGTCGACGTCGACGTCAACATGAACTACTGCAAGGACGTGAGCGACGCGGTGCGGGACGCGGTGCGCGAAGCGGTGCGGGACGCCCGCCTGGAGGGCTACCCGGAGGGCGCGACGGTCACGGCGCAAGGCCACATCCGTTACCTGACGCCCACCAAGTTCACGAGCCGGGGCACTAAGTACGCCTCGATCACGTCGTCAGCCTCGCTGCGGGACGACACCATTGGGCGCTCGGCCACGCTCCCCGTCAGGGCTGAGTCCCCTGCCCCCGCGCCGGTGTCCGCCCCAGCCGCGGCCCCGGTCCTGCTGCGCACCCAGCGCACGCGCCGCGCCTCCATCGCCGACGTCGTCGAGCTGCAGCGGGAGGTGCTGCCCTGCGGCGCGCCGCTGTCGAAGGTGTCTACCACGTCGCCGCGCTCCGCCACCGCCGTGCTGCGCCCCGGCGTCATGAGCGCGGCCGACTTCCTCAAGCCCCGGCCCAGGAAGGCCAGCAGCCAGCACGGAGCTCCGCCCGGCACCCTGCACGGCAACCTCCACGGCAGCCTGCACGGCACCCTGGGCGCCCCGGGCCGCTCGCGACGAAGCAGCGTGTGCAGTGCGGCGGCTGCCACCCCGCGGTCCACCCCCGGGCCGCTGAGCCGCTCGTCCTCGCTGGGCCGCCTGGCGAGCTCCGCGCCTCCGCCGCTGCCCCCTCCCCGCGTCGCCACGCCGTGCCCGTCGCCACCCTCCGAGCACCGCGCGCCCGTCCCTCGGCCGCGCACCTCCAAGCTCAAGCAGGCCGGGCCGCTGGTCGCCCGGAGGGAGTCCCTGCCCCCGGCCCGGGAGCCGTCGCCCGAAGAGCTCTGCAGCAGCCTGGAAGCAGTGAGTATGGGGCTGGTCCGGGCGGAGGCGAGGCGTGGCGTACGCGTTGCCGCGGGCGGCTTTCACCGCGAGGTGCGTCGGCGGCCCCAGCGGCCTCGGCCCTCGGCCCCCCGCGGTGCTGCCACTGTCCATCGGTGTTATGTAGTCTCCGCCGTCTGGGCGCCGGTGCTTCTAATTGGGATGGTTCTCTGGAGCGTTGCGCGCCAACACACTCGCCGCACGGGTGGCTGCGGACGTTAACAAAGTTCACCCACAAACTCGTCCGCTTACCTGCCTGTGAACATGTCCCTATGGCAGACCGTTATGACGACGTGCGGTTTGCCGGCCGGCCGACGATCAGGGCCACCCAGCCGCCCCCGACTCATCGCGTGTGTTTCTGTGTTGCAGGGGGACCTCGTGTGGTTCGACCCCGGCGTGGGCCATGTCCTGCCCGGCGAGGTGATGGAGTACCACCGGCCTGCCCAGGTGCTCACGGTGCAGGCCGTCATCGCCGGCAAGGTGAGTTTAACATCGGTGTAGCAGCCGAGCTGCGGCCAGGTGCACCAGCACCGTCCGCTGGGAGGGTTCAAGTCATCCATCTATCCGAGCAAAGAGGCGGCGGGGCGGGGCGGGGGCGGGGTGGGCGCGGGCGCGGTGCTGTTCGCGGTCAGTACTCCCGGTGCCCGACGGGCCGCGGGCGTGGACAGTGCCGCCACCTCTCAGCAGCCCGCCGAAGCTGCGCGGATCTTGTTGGGCTCGAGCCGTAGGAGGCTGGAGAAAGGAGTATGGAGTAGTTCCGGCCGCTGGAGCCGCCCGAGCTTCCCGACGGCGCCGACAGATCGCGCCAGCGGCAGCGCCGCGACCCGAGGCGCCCGCGGAGTCGCGTGGCGGTTTGTTTGGGCATGGGGGGCGCGCGGCGGGGAAGGAGGGAGGTGAAGATCAAAGTGTCTGCGTGCTCCAAAAGCGCCAAGTTGGCCGTTCGGAGTGAGTTGATAGTTCGGCCCCGGACACGGAGCGTCCCTGCCCCGCCCTGTTAAACCTCGTCCAGCCCGGAGCGGTTTTTAAGGATAGGATGTCGTGGAATTTCGTGAAAGGAAGGCAGAAGACGCTCGCCCAAGGGGAGCAGGCGTACGGGAGGGGGCCGGGGGAGGCTAAAGGGGAGGGGTCCAATTCCCAGATTATTGGCCGATTCCCGCCCGGGGGCACGCCCTGGCCGCCTGGGGCAATGCGATGGCCCGCTGCCCGACCCCACACGCCCCGTCCCCCCACCCCGCGGCCCGCGGCTGGCTACGCCAAGCACTAGCTGACTTCCCGATGACGGGACTTGTTGTGCGACTCAGGACCGCGTTCTCATCGAAGGAGGGCGAAGAGAGGAGGAGGGGTGCTTCTGAAATTCTGATGGGGCGCCGCCGAGACCCCCGCTGCCTCGAGGACCTGAGGAGACGAGTGTTCCTGGTCCTGGCCACCTAATGTATGCGTCTCGTTTTCGGAGGGGATTCTCCGCAACCTCGGCCGCCTCTCGAAGATCGTGAATGTAAGATCGTGCCGGCGTGAATGTCTCAATCAATAATGGCTTACTTTCGCCCCTCACGTCGTCAGAGGTCGCAGTGGTGTGTGCGTGTGCACGTGAGTGCGCACGCGTATGTGTGTGTGTATGTTCGCTCGCATCAGACTGGCAACACGTTTCAGCCCCAATTTTGAACGTCTGCAGTACAGTACAGGGCTATGGTACGGTTGGTTCCCCTACCTCTCCCTGACTTTCCTTTAGTTTCCCGCTCGGCATGGCGTGCCAAACGCCAAACGTGTACACGCCGCACCTGCCTCAGTGCTGTGGCCTCCGGCAGGCCTGCTGCATGGCTGACGCTAGGAATTTGCTGGGCGCCGGGTGCCTCAATTTTTTTGATGAAGTCATCATTTATTTTATCAATGGCATGTTCATTTACATGAATAAGTGTTGAGTTGTTAAATGCAGCAGCATTAAATGCGGTTCGTAATAAGAAGGTCTTTGCTCATAGTGAGAACAATATTTTGGTTAGAGTGTTTCTGTGGTCCCTTTATAACACACTGGGTGGTCCCAAAAATTTATGAACAATAACTTTGTGAGCCAATGGAATGGATTCATATGATGAAGAGAAGCGGTCATATGTGCAGATAATTTTTTTCAGTAAAGTTTTAGAAGCAGTGCTCTCTGGCTGGGCTGGGGCCGGGCAGGCTACATCAGACTGCCATCCCGTGCCCATACCGGGGAGATATGAGCCCTTTAAAACGAACATGACGGGCACGGGGGAGAGGACGGGGTGGTGCGCTCCCCCTCCCCGCCCCGGACAGCAACAGGTGTCGGATGCTGCGATGCCGCTCGTACAATGGGGCATAACGCGCCGCTCCGCGCCACCGCGCCGCATACACCGTCACCTTACTGCTACGCGCTACACACAAAACAAAAACTATCAAGTCGTTTCTCCTCTCCATGGTGCACCTAGTGGTGTGTGGAAGAACGCCGATGTTACTCAGACCCAGATGCATCAAAGGAGTATGTAGCACAATAAAATGTGGTACATTTAAATCGTACTAGAGAATTTCATAGTGCGTGCCGGAATTATTATGATGTGCAATTTTCCAAGTTACTGGTCCTTTTTAACGTTTTACTTAGTTACGACAACAGTGAGATGTAACATTGTAAATCTATGAACACTTTCCTTTGCATGCCCTTCTTTCCTAGGCTTTTTCGTATGTCATACCAAATTTTGCTAACTTATTATGTTTTTTTTAACCGTGTTCTTTTAATTAAATAGACAACGAAATGCTTTCAAATTTTGCTCGCGAAACTGTCGCGGCACTGAAACCGCTGCTTTGCACAGACGGCTTGCTTTGACCGGCAGTCGAGTAATAAATCTTGCGTCCCCATGGGTGTCTAGTTTCTACACTGAACAAGTGCAAGTAATTATGTTGGGATAAAAAAATGTCCTCGGGAACCTGAAGCGACTGGCTGCAATGTGTGTGGAGCGTTTGCAAATGAAGGGCTGCGGCGCGCTCGCTCACCGGGCGGACCCGTTAGTGTCCTGGTCGCGGCGTGGCGCGGCGCGGCGTGGCGGGGTAGCAGCGCCTTGGCCGGGGTTCGGGATCCAGTCCTGCGCGCCGATAGCGGAGGGTGAGATAGAGAGACAATTAAGGGCGCGGGTAATGACGCGGTGCGGGACACATCGCGGCGCGACAACGTTGTCCCGCTTCTGCAATCTCGGTTGTAATGTCGTGTTTCATCCCCGTCTGATTGTTGTTGGGGAGGAGCAGCGGCGGTGAGTGTCCAGCAGCGCTGCTTTCCCTGGCGCCCCCGTGCGCCCCGGGCGACCTCACTCTGTCCCCCACGCGTCCGCCCCGCGCCGCCCGTTAGTGCTCCGCCGGACGAACGCCTCTCGCGCCTCTCGCTGCGACGCCCCAGCCCGGCCAGGCTCCGCGCTGCTTTGCAGGAATAAGCATACTTGGCAGGCGCAGCGGCCCCGCTGGCCTACGAGCCGTGTGTTGTGGCTGCGGCGGCGATGGACGGCCCCGGCGGGGGACAGCCCCTCCCCTCCCCTACACTGCCCCACCCTGCCCCACCCCACCTCTCCGCTCCCCAGCCGACCCCAGCTCACCCTACCGCACCGGTGCCGAGAGGAGAGGCAGCGGGCCACCGGGGGAGAAAACAGGCGCCAACTCCTGCCCCTATGCCATAAATATGCACACAAATTGTTGCAAACTTGTCAAAACTCAATAATTTACCATACCATAAACAACAACAACGTTGAACAACAGTAGATTGTTTCAAAAAGTTTCTAGCGAGCTTATGGTCGCATTATCTTTCAGCTACTCAAGTTATTGGAAATGAAAATAAATTTAGGCTTTAGTGTGGGGCCGGGATTTCTAGTGCTGGGCGCGAAGATAGAAAGTGCGACCACATTGCGTGCTCGCATGGCATTCAACGGAACATGTTATGGAGTACCAGATAACAATCTGTAAATATACAACACGTGTCAAAGGCAGCACGCCCACCCTACGTAAGTCTTTAGCAACCCCGTGGCCAGGTGGCCCGTGCAAGTGGAACGCTCTGCCTGATGGCCCTGGTCCTGGCTAGGCCGCTTGGCGCGTGTTCTTGTTAATCATAGTAACGGCGTGCTTGCTTATCGTGCGGCGGGGCGGGGCGGGCCCCTGAGCGCACCCGCTCTGCATCGCTCTGCATGACCCGCTCCGCTGCGAGCTCAACCCGCCCACGGGCCCGCCCCGCCCCGACCTGCTGGCCAGTCCTTCTTGTCGCGCAGGGGCATCGCCCAGCCCATCACCCATCACCCGCGCAACTTGCGGCAGAGGGCGGCGGTCCTGGTCGTCCTGGTCCTGCTCTGGCTGCCCGCTCTCCATCTCGTACGCTCATCAGCGACTCTCCCCATCTCTTCTTCGCCGCGATACCTTGCTCCTCTCTGCCCCTCCCCCCGCTGCTTTATCTGCGTGGTTTCATCGGCCGGCAGCAGGTGGACCAAGGACCAGCGGTGCTTGCGATAGAGACGTGCAGATGCCCGTGCGTTTGCGTTGGCGCCCCCCCTCCCTCCCAC